GAACACACTAAACAAGCTGTTAAAAGCAAACTGAAGACATGAAACGAGAACTGTTAAAAACAAACTGAACAGAAATGAAACGGAACTGTTGAAAGCAAACTAACAACTAGAAAAAAGAACTGTTGAAAAAAACTTTACAGATTTAAAACGAAACAAAACAAAAGGTGAGCGAGCGAATCGTTGACGATTTGGTAGAAAATTGTAGTTTAAAAAGTAAAAAAAAACGTTAAACTTCTTGGCTGTAAAGAAAAGAAAAACACCTGAGGAGATACTCTTGGATTTAAAAGTACTTGGGAAAAACTGAGGAGATACTTAAGGCGTAAGACTTAAAATTAAATTAGAGATTTAAAATTAGAAAAAAATTTTTTTTCGGTTATTACAACATTTGGCGTGATATTTTTTAAATCTAATGGAGCCCAAGTATATATAAACTTAATTTTGTATATATAATGTAAATTAATTCACCTAAATTTAAATTCAATTTTTTTTCAAAAGAATTAAGCATTTTGAAGAGGAAAAGAAGTAAAAGTATCTTGTAAGAATAATTTTCTCATACTCGTAAACACAGTACTTAGGAACAACCACTCATATTCTTGAATTCATTTTCAAACAGTAGGGGAGAGTAAAGACTTGATCACAAAACGAGCAGCCGAAGTCTCTGCTAGCTACAATAATTTCTAGCTTCATTTAAGAAAACAAATTTCATATGTAGTATAAAAAAAGCTAAGATCACGAACACTTTTTAAAAAATTAACTACTTAAAATTAAAAAGAAGGTAATAAAACAATTTACAAAATAAAGCAACACAAAATACCCAAAGTAAAAATTATACAAAATGTAAATAAAATGCAATTAGAACATCAGAAAAAGTCGATCGACTAAAACAGTGATATAAAATGATCAAGCTATGCGATCATTTAGTTTCCGTACTGCGTAATAAATGGTGCCAAATTCTTTGATGCATTTGCGCTGTCCTGATCCACTCATCGCATTTTGACTGAGTTTCAAAACTACGAGATCGATTATCAATGGCGCCTGTGTTGCTTCAGAATGTGACGTAAATCAAATAAGACAAATATTTTTTTAAAAATAAATGTGACTTCTTATATTTAGCGGAATTTAACCAAGGAAAAAATTGATAAAAAAAATTAATCCAGTATAATCTCTAATATTTCTCATTTTTTAGATTAAAATGAAAAGAGGGAAAATTATGTGGTAAAAAAACTCGGCTAAGAGGTTACAAAAAAAAACACCAAAATTTCTTTATTTATAGTATCATCTTCTATTTCAGATACTTAACATTAAAGTTAATCCCTTTCTTAACAAAACATCGATGTAAAAATAAAATAAATATCTTGCAAAAAGCTAATCCTTTAAACATTTTAGAATTAAATTTAAAAATATTCTCAAACTTAGATTAGATGCGATCTTTGTTAAAAAAATTCCTCACAAACTAAGTTGATCCCATTTAATTTTTTTAAAGAGATTAGTATAAATAACTTTTAAGTATTGATCCCTGTGACGTCAAAATTCGAGAAAAATTATCAACATAGAGCTAAAGTTTTCTTTTATGAGTTACAGTAAATATGATCGCAAAAAATCAAATTTAACTAAATTGTCAGATAATAAAGGTTTAATCCTTAAAAATCGTATATAGGATAAACCTGGCAAATATGGGTACCAAAAAATTAATTTAAAATATACTACACAAACACTCCATTTTTCCAAAATCGAGATACTTCAAACTTTAGAGTGTTGTATTTCTAATGGCAAATAAACAAATCTCTAACTCGTGTTGCTATGTTTATAAAGAAGTCCAAAACAAATACTACAATTGCCCATATTTGCCTAATATTTAAGGTAATATTGGTAAAATTGACGGTAGTATGGGCAGGTTACATTATAAAAAAGATAAGAGAAACTGTCATTTCTACATTAACCTTTTTCAAACAGAAAAGCATTTTTACGCAAATTGTACTTAAGGCAAATGGTAAAAAGCCAAATTAAACCTTTGTTATTAAACTAATTGCATCACAAAAAATATCCAAGTTTTATCTATAAATTAAAAATAATTGAATGCCAAAAATTAAAAATTAAATTAACACAAATTATTGCATACTTAAAGCAAAACAACACTTAAGGAGGACTTTCACATATCATAAGTTGCACTCATTACAATAGAAGAAGTTATAAGCTAACTCGACGATTCCTCATAAAACCAGGCTGGTTGAACAAGAGCCAAAACTCTATACCCATTCATGTCCTTGATTTTCATTAGGAAAAAGGGCAAGGCTCAAAACAGGAAAAAGGCAGGATGCATTGTGTTTTTTGGTACTTTCTGTTTTGTTCTGCATTTTACCCTTGCACATTATTTTCGACCTCCGTTGGCAACTTTCTTCTTCGTAGAACCCATACTTTCTGTACTTGTCACCTGTCTTGCGATGTTCTTACGATTTCCACAGGTAGTTTTCAGTGTTGGAAAAGGGGTCAGCTCCTCCAGAAATGCTGCTGAATGCTAAAATTCTGTAGTGACATGTACTGCTGCAACTTGCCCGAGGATGTTAAAGTAAGGAAGAGGTTTATGGAAGGAATATTTAGGGCGTGTAGAAGAATGGTCAGGGAGTAGGGTTGGAAAACATAACTCCATCAAATTTCATTTCCGCTTACCCAAATTACCCTGAAATTTTTTTGCTCTAGTGACATTATTCAATAGCTGCCCTTACTGCTGTCGAAGGGAGAAAAACACCCCCCCCACTTTGGGGCACTCACATAAAATGCATCCCTTTATAGGTTTCATATAAAATTTATTACCTTGTTAAATCTTAGTAAGATAACTACAATACAACAACAATCCCAGTTTGAAGTATCAGGTAGTTGAACTTAATTAGAAATGGTCTGTTTGTTAGAGCAGTACAACAACACAAACAAATAACATCGTCGCCTGACGCGAAGATTCCAAAACTCAGTGCCATGCCCCAAATCAAAAACCCTTACATATTATTGGGGGTTTTGTAAGTTAAGTATACTTTAGTGCCCCTATTTGCCAAGTTTGTTCCATCCTTCCGGATTCGTATACATTTCTTGTAAATGTATAAAGTTATTGAAGTGGGAGAGTAATGTATAAGCAGTACTTATAGATAGTAATTATATCATAGGTAATCTGTGAGAACGTTTTATATCATATCATGTATTTGCATTAAATATAATTAAATAGATTTAATGATAACAAATTTTCATTAATATCACTCTAAATTGATTTCATTTAGCATTACCAAATTTATACATTTTTTTAAAAAAACAATAATATTATACCTTTTTTAAAATTTTTTTTTTTTGGAGGGTGGGGGCATTTTTTTTTTTATTTTTTTTAAACATTTTCAAAAAAATAAATATTTGGGGCATTCAAAATTTATTAAAATTTTTAAAAATATAGGAAAATTATTTAAGTTTTTTCTTAAAAGTCTTTATTCAAATATTTTCCAAAATACTGCATTTCTTAAAAATAATTGCGTACTACTAATAATTTTTTTTATATCTTAATTTAAATGAAGCTCGGATGTATGAAGATTTCTGAAGCTTGAAATGGTAAGACACTATAAAGTTTTCCATGAAACATTATGGGACAATTTCACACGAATAATTTTACTCTAATAATTCACTTTAATTTCAGTTAAAGTAACAAAAAAATGTCATTCAATTCATGGAGGAAAATAATAACTTTAAAGTTCTTGATTTTAAATTTCGCTGCATAAAATTAAATTTTAGAAATTCTACCACTTCAATGCTTTACATCGAAATTTCTCTCACAGTGGTTTTTATATAAAAAAAAACACACCCAAGAATAAAATTTTTCCATCATATGAATAATTTCTGAATTAATCTTATTTTAGTTATAAGTCATCATTGTTATTAAGAGACTCATTATGTTATAAATTTCGAACAACTATCAATCGATGAGAACATCTTTTGAACTGCTCGCGTATGAAACTTTCGATAGCTTCCGATTCGTTTTTGTTGTTTCTACTTGACACAGATATCGATATAACTTCTTAAATGATTGATGAACAAACAAAAAGTTAGTTATTTTTAGAAAACAGAAAATCCGAGTATTTAAATTTGGAAATTAAAAAATAGTGAAATCGTTTCGTCACTTAAGATAAAAGATTTTAATGACCTATTTTCGGCAAATTATTTATTATTTTTCTGTTTTCTAATTTTCTGTAAGACACTGGTAACAACTACAATCGTTCCCAAGTTCTGTGAAAGGATTTTTTCAAAACCATATATATGTATTTTTGAAATAATTCTATTTCATTAATACCTTATTTTCAGAGTGAGTTAGCGTTTATTAAATAACACGCCACAAAGCAATACAAGTAATGTTGGTGCCAGACCTCATAATTCTGAACCAAAGTAAAGGGACGAATACGATACCTGAGATGGCACACCTTTCTCAAACATACTACACCAAAACAGCGGGAGAACTTGGAGCTTCTACAGATTTAACATGCATCAGCTACTTTTACACGGCAGGTCTTCAGGGGCACTAAGTTCGAACTCGTGACACACCCGACACGAGCTCATGACTATGAACTCTAAGTTACCGTTGCCTCCCCTTACATTTAGAAATGTAATTAGTACATGACAGATTAATACTCACGGATGTAAAATATTTTTTATTATGTATTAAATCTCAAAAAAATATTATTGAAAAAAATTGTTAAGTCAATTCCTACTTAAGTCACAATAATGTAAAATTTTATTTTAGTTACTTGTTTATTAAATAATTACAATTAATATAAATATGTATATACATAGGATAGAATAACAATATTAAGTGGCAAAATAGAAAGCGATTTTACTTGCAATTTTCCATTTTCTTTTCTATATAGAGTGTTGGACTATTATTTTTGTTTGTTACTATTTAATCATTAATTAAATTTAAATATTCTAATAAAATATTTTAGAAAAAGAAGAAATCCCATTCTCAGAATTTAGGCCATCCCAGGTGAAATTCGAAGCCACGACCTTGAATTAGAAGTCCAACGCGTTATCCATCGCGCTATAGGGACACAAAGAGTGATTTTCCTTTTTATATAGTGTATTGGACTATATTTTTTGTTTGTTACTATTTATTCATTAGTTAAATAGAATTAATGAATTAATATTTGAAAAAACTATATGAACATCAAATGTCATCCACTACAAGTTTAAAAAAAAAGGATTTGAACTTGAGAGGGATGAATAAAAAGAATTTTACTAATGATTGAAAATTTGAACAAGATGAATATACTAAATGTATATTCATCTTGTTCAAATTTAGTTCACAATCTACCTTATATTTATTTTAATAATAAATATAACGTAGATTGTGAACTAATAGTAGGAATTAAAAAGGTTTAGAGACGGAAAATCTCACTTTTCGAAGCGTATCAAAGTTCTTCCTTTATAAGTAAAATTTATTTTTGTTTACTTTTCTAAGTGAAACGTATTTTTACTTACTTTTTCCTTTGTACGCAAATATTTCTTCCGTGCGCTAACATACAAAGGTTTAGAGGCAAAGTACTTATTTCAAAATAAAAAAAGATACTATTTTCAATTTATTTTATTCCAAATGCCTTACAATTACCATATATTTCCCTGTCCCTTACCAACCTTTCTTTCACACCTTAAAGAGAACCATAAAACAAATTCTTACAGTAGTACACACAAGGGGTGAATAAAAAACAACGACAAATAACATCACCTCTAGTTGGTAAGGCTATGTCTTTCAATCTATTTTCAACAAGATTGACACAAGACATCGGAAGGAAGAATCAGATGAAATCTTTTAGGGAGGGATGCATCAGTAGGGGCAAGAGAAAAGGATTTCTGTTATCGTTAACTTCAGGTAATGTGTCAAGATTCAGTGTACCGCATCCCTTAAGGCGCCTGTGGACACTTGATACCACCTGAGACAGCACTTGAGTTCGTAAATGTTTCTGTCTGATGGTAGCAAATTGTGTTGTTATCTTGTTTGTGTGCTATCTCTGATTTTTGTCTATTTCTTTTCGGAGATATGTTTTCATTTACACGAGTTTTAGCTTTACCTATTGATGGAAAAGAACAAACAAAGGAATGGTTTTGTTGATTTAAAGTGAGTTTTGATGCTAAATGTAAAGAAAGTAATGTTTGCTAGTTTTTTCTAGAACTAGAACGTTTTTTTATTTATTTATTGTCCTATCTTTTGATCTTAATGTCTTGTTCTTAAAAGAGTTTATTTTTCGTTCGAAAAAAATGTCACTTAGTTATTGATTAATGGATCTCAAAATTGCTTAAAATTGGTTTAATGCATTTTCTAACTTTTAAACAGAAATATATGCCGTTAACTCAAGTTAACTCAATTTTCTTACAGTTTGAAACTCGATTTTCTTTTAATTTTTTTTTAATTTGACAAGTCTGTGATACCCCGTGACCCAAGGGTACCATCTCTTCATCCACGTGACCTATTATTGTAGGAAGAAATGATTGATCACCCAAATTTGTCATAATAAATCTAATTTATTATTGTCTAAATATATTGATCAACACACCACAAGTCTTACTTATAGGGATGTAATCAGGAGTTATACAACGTAATTCTAAATTCTAAGTAAATAACGCCTGGAATCCTAATCACTATCATTATGAAAATCTATCCTAAGAATCTTTATCTGCCTAAGATTCCTTAACACACTAATGTCCGTTCTATAATTACATTCCTGTAATTAATATCTTCAACTATTCTACTTCTATTATACTTCCATTCTACTAACACGCGAATACTAAAGCTCCAATATATATCTAATAACTATATATTCTGCATATCGCGGTTTCTTCTTGAGAGGATTGGATTGAAATAATGCCATTCTAGCTCCAAAGATTCCCAAGAGGATTAGTAAGAAAACCCGATAAGGCCACGTCACAAGTCCAAGATGTATCTTATTATTCGTGATAGCTTTCTTAGCAGCTATAGTTTCTATTTACTTAAACATTTTAACATCATAAAAAATAATTAAATTGTAACATATTAATTTAGATATAAGGGTCCTTTTATAAGACAAATACATGCGCTTTGATTAAACATTAAACACATAATATTGGGAGGTATATAGTTACAAAGTGCTTTTGATTAATAAACGAATTTTAGAAAGCAGTACGCTCACTTACAAAACGATTTCCCTGTAATACGTAACCACACGTATGAATACATTAATATGATAGACATTACAAATCTGTTCAAAAATATTATTTTATTCCGCATTTACTACATTTCCATCAACTAGGTATGTAAATTTTCTTAATTTTGAATACAAGTTGAAACATTGTTTTCAGAGCGAAATTTAATTGTTTAAAAACAATAAAGTATGTTATCATTTTTCGAACAGTTACTCAATTTTAATTGAAAATGTGGCGGTTTAAGTAAGCATTATAGCTATGATTCCGGTCTCTAAAATATTTTTAAATTTCCATGAAAGCATTCATAATATATTTAAATTTGATACACTTTATATTTTAAATTACTTCAAATTTAATATATTTATTTTCCAAGAAAAAATTCATTCCTTTCTTACGATTAAACCGATTTTTAAAGTTACTTAGTTAAAAAAAAATATTACTTTATAAGCAGTCGAAGAAATTTATGAATGTCTTTGTAAAAATTTAATACACATTATGTTTCTTCTGATAACGCTTTATTTTATTATTATTTTTTCTATTCTTTCAAAGAAAAACAAGTACTGCTAAGAATCTATTTTGCTGAAAGAATTAAGATATCTCATTGAGATATTTTATTTCAGTATTCAATTTAATCTACCCAAAGGAAAGGAAACAAATATATCCTGGTATAGTATTTAAAAATAGGAGTGTTGCTTTGGAATGTTTATTGTCAAGTAATTTTAAATTTGTGACTTACACTTTTAGTTAAATGTCTTAAAATAGAAATATATTCTTTGTTCAGTATTAAAAGTTTGAAATTAATTTATATGTCTGATAAAACATTTTTAAAAACCAACAAAGAGCTAATTGTCAATAATAATGCTTAGTACTTAATCATGAAATATTTCCAAGTAAAGAAAAATTATTTTTAATGCCTTGTACTATTTTTAAGTTCAGCATCAATCATTATATTAAAAATAAAACCCTTCCATTAAATGAGATTATAATAATAATAATATACAAAAGCTTATCAGGGTTATATTATTCCTCTCGAAAATAAATAAGAAAAATAGCTTTCTTTGCGATAATGTCTGTGTAATTTATTACTAATTATAATAATGTCTTGTTAACAAATAACCACCCATAGAAATAATATGAGTGTAGTATTACTTTCATAATAATAGTAATTATCTATGTAAGAATTTACTATCGCGCTTGGTACTAAATGCAGTAAACTAATCAGGAAAAATGGCACATAATTTATTTTCTGTAAAGATAGAAATGATAACTGAGCAATTTATGTATTATTAGAAAAGAGTGTTATTTTTGTATTTCTCCCAGAGCAGAGAAATTGATAAGTGTCTTGAGAAAAATGAGTCTTATACTATATTCGAGAAGTAAATAATTATACATTTTTAACAGTTTTATATTGGAACGCAGAAAGATTTATAGAATGTCACATTCAATTCTTAATTATCACTTTAACATGTTCTTTAAAAAGTTTTATTTAGAGCAGGGGTGTCCAACACGTGGGCCGCATGTGGCCCGCCAGTACGTAAATTGCGGCCCACCGACGCTTCTAAAGAAAATTTTAAATATCAGGTTTTAAAGTTTTTTGATTTTGAAATTTATTTAAGAGGAAATTTATATATATAAATCTACAATGTATTTGCCTGTTAACTGTTCTTGTTTAAAAATAAATCCTTTTTGATAATAGAAATGTCCTTTAGATTAAAATAGATTTATATTTTATCAAACAGTTACGTTTGATTTTACTATAATAAATTACTTTTTTAATAAATTCCGAATTGCATTATACATATCTTTTACTAAGGATGGTATATGATTCTCTGTGCGTGCGACTTTCAGTTCTCCTCCTCCTTTTCTGTTTGGAGTACCCAAAAAGCAAAAGGCAGTCAGAAGTGTTTCTTAAAGTTTAAAAATATATATTCAGGATGGTTAAGATAAAAGGCAATGTATACTTAATCATTTGAGAATGACAGCACAATCAAATTTCAACAATGAGTAACGAAATATCAACTCAATAGGAACACCGTAATTTTCAAGAAAATGGCAACTGTAATATTTTAAACATTATTTAATCATTTTATTATTATATTATATAAACGTTATTATATTATCTATATTCTTATACATGAAAAATAATAAAACAATAATAATAATTCATTTTGTTTTAAATTTTCACTCCAATAAATGTTTTTTTGTTTCCAAATTTGATATAAATGTACATATTTTTATGTGCGGCCCGCGAGATTAGAATGTTTTTCCGAAGTGACCCGCAAGATCATTTGGGTTGGGGACCCAGGATTTAGATTAACGGGATCGCTCAGATAATTCTTTAAGCAATGCAGATATTCTGAATCTTTAATGTCATCGACTGCTAAACAGAACTCTAGATAATACCTGCATTATATTAAGTTCAAGAATTGTGGACTAATTCTCACAATCTTTCCATTATAACAGTTTACACGCATTCATTTCTTTAAACCCCATTTTGAAATTTTCATTTATATATTCCATTCTATCTGTAAGAAGGTGGGAGCTAAGAGTTGCAATGGACTCAATTTACGAAGGTCACATGATAAAGACAAACACATGTTCTCCATCGAATTCAAAACAGACATTAAACTAATTATACTTGATGCACTATTTGCAATACTTAGATAAAATTTCAAATTTCATAATTGGGTACATATGTTTAAATGTAATGAAAGAAATTTCTTCAAGTAGGTTTTTTTTAATTAAAAAAAAGTCTTATTTTATACATATACTTTTAAATAAACTGCATTTTGAATTTAAGAGAAAGTTTCTACAAAGAGCAAAAGTTGGCAACAACGAAGCGCGTGAAATGATTAGCTGGAAACACAAGATAGCT